AGACTGGAAGATATGACAGTGAAGACATTTTGCTATTCTAAGAAATAAAATCAACTGATAGCTTAGCAGCATGGGGCTTACCAAGGAAGAACTCAATTCTTTCTGCATAGGTGTAAGGTGCAAAGAACAGCGGACTTGCAAGTCAGATGCTATATTAACAGCAGTTAGAAGTTACTGTTCTACCTGAAAGTTGACTTTCTACATCTACCAGGGACTATTGCAGGCTGACACCTGGAGATTTACAGCACTGAAATAAAAGGGATGATTTTTCAGATTTCATTATGTAGGGCTCTCTACTGGCATCTCTGCAAAAAAGCATACATTCACATTTTTATAAGTAGAGAAGTCTGGAAGAATATATCTGGAAAGATACTGATTCAGAAGAGAGAGTCAAAAACGAGAACTGGAATGGGTATAAAGTTGAAAGCAAGCCTCTGAATCTAGGAGTCTGAAGGGGGCAAGAAAACCCTCTGAATAGTGAATTTTCTCATTTGGATCCAGATTGATCCACCTCATTTTCTCCTTCTCCGTTTACAAACCGTCTCATAAGGATATTTATTTCTCCATCCCAGAAGCACTTCATTTAGTGCTTTTATAACTTTGTTTTGCCTCCCCATGTACTACTGTTCATAGCATGACATCGAAGAAGGCTGAAAAAAAAGCCTGTTCAAACATTTCACTTGCTAACAAACTCCTGCCTCAAGCTGAGAACTGCTGCATGTTCAACAGTCCCCCTCAGCCCTCACCCCAAGCTGACCATGGCTGCACATTCAGCAGTCCCCTGCTCCTAGCTTTGGAGAGCATCAGACTCACGTGAAGTCTTGCAGAATAACTCGCGCAGGCTTAAATGGCACTTCAACATTCTTGTGTTGCACCACTTTCCAGTTGAGAATATTCTCCACATCTTCCTTCCTCACTAGAAACTCATCACAGTTACGGATTGCTGCTTCCAAGAGGACTCGAATAGAAAACGGCAGACGTGCTGCATGGGAAAGAAGCAAGAAGCAAATTCTGTTTCTACCTTTGGGTGCGCTTCCATATGCCAGCAAGCGCAGAATTCCACTCCCAGGGCACACAGCTCTTCAAGTACTGTCTCCATATCCCCGCAGGCAAAAGTATCAGACACCCGCGCCTGGTTTCCTGGCTGCGTCAGGAAGTCAGTGTTAACTGACCTGTTCCTCTCAGCTCTTATAGCAGGTTTATTAACTCGGTGCCTTTGAAACTGGCCTGAAAGGACTCTTTTCCGCGGCCTATTTTCCCACCGCAGCAACTCTACTCTGAAAACACAATGCGCTCATCTTGCTTCTCTTCATTATACCCTCACTCTTGCCACCGGATCCAGCTGTATAAATGCACTAGAGAAACACAAACAATTTTCTACTCAGCCTGTTGGAAAGCATTTATTGATCTAGCCAATCTTTTCTTCTCCAGAGATGGAGAAGCTCCTTCAGCCTCAAGATGGAAATATTTATACTTGACACAAAATAACATTAGAGCAGTCCTGAAAGTTCCAGTGGGAGCAAGGTATGCGAAGAAAAATAAAAATTATCTTTTCTCCCTGTCCTCGTTTAATAGTTTTTGACTTCTTTTCAGAATACTGTTATTGAAAAATATATTGAAAAGTTTCCTCTTAGGGCCCCAAGGCACAGAGGCTACAGAATCACAGTGGGAGTTCATTAGCGCTATCATAAAAACAGCACCCACTATTGAGCATTGCACTATATATAGCATCCATCATATAGCACGGAATGTACATGTTGCTTTAAAAAAAAAAAAGGGAGAAATTCTCCTGTTTCAGGACACAGCCATTCAGAATTATTTAATTTGTATTGTTTTATCTGTTGCTAACTTAGTGCATTTCTCTGTTTGAACAGTGGGAGTTGTTCTCCTTTTCCTCTAAAGGATGTGGAGCTTATCACTCTTGGGATTCTGGAAGACATCAACTGGTAATACCATACACGTATTTGTCTGTTTCTAAAGACTCCCCATTGCTTTTCAGAGACCGAGTCCAGCATTTATTCATTTCTGAGCTACATACTCTGTCTGAGTTTGCAATGGATATGCACTGATGACATTCAGAGTAAGAGTTCCTTCTCTTGCAGTTTTGGTTCCTGAATTCTCCTTAACCAAACGTTTCCTCTTTGACAGAGGAGGGGAAAAAAAAAAAAAAGACACAGACAGCCATAAGCTATAGATACTGGCCTTCTAAGTCAGTGGCATGAACTGTAGGACTTTTACCAGTGCCACAAAAAGGATGCCTGAGGATATTCAGGAAATGTCTGATGAAGCAAAGATAAAGCCTCCTCTGAAAAGGATTCTTCTACCCTCCCCTTTTTTTGCTTTTCAAAGTTGAACAACCTTTCTGGATGATTAAGTCAGACATGCCCATGATCGATCCTTTCCCGCCTAGCACAGCAGCAAGGTATGAGACGGCTTATTCTCTTAAGTGTTTTGGCTAGTTCTCCTCATCCTCTCAGGATATATACAACTGCAACATGCAGTCTGTGCCCAGAAGACGTTTAGGAAAACAATACTAACAGCTTGACGGCAGTTTCATAATTCTAAACTTCCAGACTTAAATTTTGCTAAAATTTCATTTTCAAGAACTGCCTTTAGAATACATAGTCCTCTCCATGACTGCACGCTCAGAGACCAAGTAGCATCCATCGTTCAGTGTCTCTTCCAGTTCTGCTCAGCATCAATGATGACCAAAACCAGTAAGTCCAGGCAGGTGTTTCAGAATATTCCTTTCTCCTGCAGTCAACATACCATATCTCACATCTTCCAGTTTGTTTAGATTAAAGAACTTCTTCAGAGGCTCTCTGGGGTCCAGGGGCTCCACAAGCTGTGCAAAAGGGTTGCTCATGGTTAAAGAGCCTTGTAATCCCTAAAACACAAAAGATAAATCATTGTCATTTTCACATCATTTACATCTGTCCCACACGCGAAGCCTACATCAGTCAGAAACGTCCTGCACAGACTATATTCGCCATGCTCGCGCCCCTACGATCTGCTCGTAATATGTCCTCAGAGACAAAAGGCCTGGAGCAAGGTAAGAGTATTTTGAATAATATAGCTACGACACATGGTTTACAAAGAAGGTTAAATGTCTGCACTATTACCTTCTTTATGTTGCTTTTAGATAGCCCTGCAGGCCTCTGTGATCTAGGAACCACTACAGCTGTGTGGTCCCGTGTCTTACACGGCATTGGTCTAAAGCTGGACGGACAAGCATTTCCACTCAAAATTAAAAGAAAAAAATATTTCAACCAAACAGAAAGTACAATGGCTTGAGAAAGAAAGTTACAGTAAGACTATAAGCCCTGACTGATTATCTGAGAAACAGGGAGCCCTCTTGAATTCGGAAATATTTGTTAGACTCCCTACCAAAACAAAATTAAATCGTGCCTCACACTCCACAGTAAACATTAACTCAGTTTGAGATCTTCAAAGCATGTGTGTGTGGGGGGGGGGAGGAGATGGAGTATTCCATTGGGATTTGGCACTTTTCAGCTTCATTTATGCAAGTGAGTTAAAGTACCGAGGAACGTTCCCAAATATCATGGCCAACTAGCATAAAGTTGCCTGATTTCACACCAGCAACCTCTCTCACCTTCCAAAAGAAGTCGACTGCATGCAGACTGCCTACTGAAACAGTCTCCAGGATGTTTTAAGTCCTGAATTGTGCCCCGGGCTCTTTTGAGAGCGCTGGCTTAGGCCAAAGCATGCCAAGGAACAAGCTAACAATTTAACAATAAAGGACACTGCTCTTCCAGCACGTGGAAACGTTCTAACTCATTATTAATTTTTTGGGAACGCCTGAAACCTCAGGTTCTATTTACAGGTCTGTTGTTGTTTTGGTTTTATACAGCCTTACTCCTGTCTTTATGCGGGAATTTCTCTTCCCTTGCATTGCTTTTTCAAAGAATAAAATCAGGTATGAATTGCACATCCTTTGACGGACGGGCCTTTGAGACCTTTTAGTGTTAACAGCCATAAGACAGCCACACAGACTGTGCTTGTTCTGGCCCTGGGAAACAACAGCAGCTCTGGCCCCAACTTCTCCCCCTCCCTGATTATCTGGGTTCCAGACACCTGTTCTGTAGCATTTATGTGATCCTGGGCACAAGCCTATGAATTCAGGGGGTCTGGCTGACTGGAATCTAAGAAAATGGATCAACTGGAGAGTCAAAAAAAGAACAGAATCTCATTTTGCTCCATCTCCTTCAGACTGCCTCTGTAGAGCAACAGAAAATTGTTTTCACTTCTCAAGTCAGCAGCTCGAACTCCAAAGTCAGATATACGTGCAGTGGACCAGAAGACTAAGAAAAAAGCGTATCTTATAAAATCAGTTTTCGGAATGAAAGCCTCTTAAAGCTGGGGCCGGACGCCGTAAGAGTCAGAGTGAAACTAATTTCCAGGTAAGTACGCAGAAGTAACTTTTTTCTCGTTTTATAAACAAGAGGAAAAGTAGTAACACAAGTATTTGGGCAGGACCAAGGAAGACAAGGGATAACAGAATGAGAGAGGAAAAATATCACAAAGTAGGAGACCATCACAGTTCCCATAAAATAGGTAAAAATAGCTAGGTTTCAGCCTAGCTTCCTTCTGCCCCACAGAATTCACATCTCTGTGACCACATGCTAAAAGCTGAATCTGATATACAGATATTTAGTTTTTAGCTATTAGCAAATAAAAATTTGCCATTTGCGCAGTACTGTGAACTTCACTGTCTTCAATTACGTTTTTCTAAAGCGGTGACATTCCCTTCTTTGTCCTTCTCCCTTCAAGTATCTTACCTTCTGCTAAGACGTCCATTCTTGTTTATTTGAATGTTCACTTAAGAACTGCATGAATTATATAAGGCATACCAGACAAATAATTGCTGCATTTTAGCCCTTCCTGTGCTTACTAACATATTTTTGTGCACATCTGATAATCTGGCTAACATCAGCGCTGACCATCTTCAAACCTAGGCTCACTATCAACATTGTTATCCACCCCAGCCGATTGCATTGAAGTTGCTCAACTCAAGTTGGAAGCAGGCTGACCATGGCACTGTGCCACCTCGCCCCACCTTTTTTTACAGTATACCCAGAATCTACCCACAGATTGCATGTCACCTCTTCACAAAAAGCTTGATTTTCAGCTTTTCTGTATCCCACCTCTATTTAACTCTCCCACAGAGGTAAAAGTGCAAAAGGATTCTAAGCAGCAGCACAGAAACCTTGAAAACCAAGAGGGGCAAATTTATTTGGAGTAAGTCGTACCTTTCCAAATATAAAACAAGGAAGTTGTTTTTCATCCACGTAACATCTGCCCTTCCGACTAGAGAAAGAACCCATAGCAATAACAGCTGTTCCGTACTGTCTCTATCAGTAGATACGAATCCGGAGGGTTCAGATTTCTCTGGCAACAGTAGTTTTATATTGTGATACTTCTAACAGAGCACTCACAGCAGAAAAACTTGAGTAGAGCAACATTCTTCACTCCATCTGTACTGAGTGGGTCAGTAAACTCAGCATCCACCATGAGCCCGCACATGCTTACTTGTAAGAAAGGACCAATGCAGAAGGGCCTACTGGCTGTACTGTGTACGGAGATCCCTACCATAGCCTGAAGACTGCATGATCTGATGACCTTCATGTAGCTAGAAGCACACACAGCCCCACGGGACAGAAAGAAAAGGGTGTGCGTACCCTTCCTCTCCTTGCGACTTCTAAGTTAATCAACTAAACCAATTTACCTTCAGCGTGTGTTAAATTTCATGTGGATCTCCACCAAAAGGAGTAACTAAAATCACTTTTTTTGAAAAGAACATTCACAAGGGATTTAAACAGGTGCTAACAGGTGCTGCAGGTGCCAATTTCACTTTTTAGCTGACTTAACTTTTCTGAGTATCCAACATAAACATAATGCTAGTCACACACCACCACCTTCTAGTAGGAAAGAACTCATTTCTCAACACTGAGGTATTATTTAAAGAGCATACTCCATTGACTGTAGGTCCGGGACTCCACTTCAGATCCTTTCAAAAGCATCAAGTGTGACTTGGAGCAATTGAAACGAGCTGAAATTTTACCAAAAACAATGGAATTGAGAAAGAGACCTGAGGCATCCTTTTGTTGTGCACTTGCAGAAAATTATCTCATGCAGAGGGTAAAAAGGGAAAAGGTGTGCTGCTTAGTCTCTCGCTATACCTAGGAGAGAATCTAAAGCTACCAGAGCAGTTCTTTGATGTCACTTATTAACCTGCTATTCCACTCTCTTTAGAGCAGCGGAAGAGCCTGAAGGTAAATGTGAATAAAGCAAATCAAATGTCCTCACCCCACAAAAAACAAGTTGCTGGGTTTTTTTGAAACATTGCTGCTCTTCTCTTTGTTTGCTGTACCAGATCAATGCTTCTGTTTTTTAGGAATCTCAGGGGAATCCACTCATCTCTCCCTCTCTCTCCCTACAGAATGAGATAAAGTCTCAGCACACAGAGTATTCTGCTGCTAAAATACATGCTAATAGTAAAGCACAGTCTTTTGTTTTATGTGAGACTGGTATTGGGAAAAGACTCCTGAGAATAGTAATCACATTTATTACAGAAGCGCCTAAGGACCAACCAAGAACACAGGTTTATTTTGCTTGGACTGCACAAAGAAAAAGCAGCCGCCAGACCAGGGAACTTCCACTTAAGCTTCAGGCCATAATATAGGAACAGAACAGGTAGAATCATTCAGCTTTTTAGCACGGACCTACACAACAAGGGAAAGGGAACAAATCTACAGCACCGTCTCGTCTATCCAGTGTTTGGTTTCTTGCTTGTCTTCTTCCAAATCATGCCAGGGTGCCGGCAGGGTAACGGGCAGATACTACTTTAAGCATATGTCCAGAAAACTAAATACTTAACAACTGCTTGACTGACTAACAGAGATTCCAACTGGTAAAAGTTCTTTTCCCCCAGAAGCGGGTAAACTCTCTACCACAGCTGGGAGGCAAGAGTTTTTTTTTGGAATAGCTTAATTTGACCCCTAACAGGATGCAAGACGTGCCAGAGAAAGTTTCACTCACTGAAAGCAAAGGCGGAATTCTTCCAGCCATGAAAGAAAAGCTGGTGACTCGTCAAGCCTGGAAGGTTTAAACTTGCAGCTACCATGGGTACCTGCAAAGAAAAAACTCCTGACTGAAAGAGTGGTGAGCTGCTGGGACTTCACCGATGAAAGGCTTTGCTTCAGGATGGGAAATAGAAGACAGATGGAAGCCTGGAATACCCGTGGCCTTGCTTGAAAAACACAGCATATACCATCTATGCTGAACCTGGTCCGGTCTCTTCGATTATCAACCTCCCCTCACGCCCCTCATGGGAGTACTTTAGCTTAGTTTTATCTCCTACACTAGGTCAGATTGCCTTTGGGTATGTATCTGTACTTTCTGCCACATATTTGACAAGGCACCTCTAAATAGCAAGAACAAATAGCTGACCTTAACCTAAGGGGAGCTGCAGCAGAGCACCAGACTACTGAATCAGAAAGCCATCGAGATAATACTGAACATGTATTTTCTGACATTACTAAGGACTACGTACAGCTAGAGAGCACCTCTTAAACTAAGGATTAATGCTTCAAGCTTTGTTCCCCAAGAGCAAATGACCTTTGCCACTTAAATAGCTTTTCTCACCGTTTCACATTCTGCTCACTGATGGGCCTTAAGTAAAAACGCTGAAGTTTGTACTTCCAGTTTGCCTAAGCTCTTGATCTCTCACCCATGAAC